TTAAATCAAATCAGCATCTCAATCTTTGTGATAAGTTCAGAAATGATCTCTATATAGAATGTAGTGGCAATTGGCTGAAAGAACAAAAAACATCATTTTTCTAAATTGCACCAAAAAAATTCCAGTTTTTTTTTGTTACCCACTGTACTTGCTAGAGGTGACAAAGATATGATAATATCATTTGATGCTAAATTTCACCAGATTTGTGAAACTTTTTGAAAATGCTCATATGTGTATATGATATGCCAAAGTTGTAGTGAACACCGATGAATTTCATACAAGTAAGGTGTAAGCACACCAACTTAAAGGAATGAAGAGCCAAAGAGATCAAGAGGAGCATCATATGGAATTCACGGTGTGCAAATGTGTCCCAATGCACTTTGTTGCATAGTGTGGAATTGCAATCTCAATGCTGCATTGAACATTCTTGAAATATTTTTAGTGATGGAATATTTTTAGATGTAGTAGAAACATAGAAACACAAGTGTCCATTTTCAGTTTACATAAGGAATGGATGGCTGTATATAGTTCACCATCACTGCAATGTATTTGTTTACACATAATAACCTTTAAGAGCTTAATAAAATTTCTCAAAAATCAGATGATTCAATTGGTAAAATGGGGTCCTAGCACTACAAAATCAACCGATTTAGTTTAGAAATAAATCTTTTTGATCTTGAGCAAGCAAGCTTAAGCTTAGGTTCAACCAAACCAAATCCAGAGCCATAATTATTGGTTAGTGTATTTTTTTAAAAAACGAGTTCAATGACTTCTATTATAATAAATAAAATTGCATTATAAAAAATCATATTTTATATATATTTTTTTAAAAATATTAATAGTTAAAGCTCTGTCTGCCACCAATGAGTTGAACTAGCTAATTCAGAGCCAAATACTTTGTAATAATGATCTAAACATTACTGATACCCTCTCTGCCAATTTAACTGATTTAAAACTCCCAAAACCAATTTAGATCAAGCAAAAAATACTGATAATTATAAGCAACAATTAAGGAATGTGATGATGCTAAATTCCAAAAAAATCACTTAGTTAACCCAAGGAATTAGCGAAAGAATGTAAACTTAGTTTAGAGAAGGGAGCTATTGCCAAAGAGCAAGAGTTAATTGCTACAAAAGCACCATGTGGTCAACACTTCTTCAGTTACTGAAACAAAATTGTTGATTTGAAAATCATGATAATTTGATTACCAAAGGAATTAATATTGATAGATCCAAGATTGGTTTCACCAACTTGATATTAAAAGAAAATTAGTCATTAATAGGCGTTTTATCAATTGGTGTTTATTAGGTTGATTAATTAGAACCAAAGAAGACAAAAAAAAGATTTAGAGAACAAAAAGAAAAAAGAGAAGAGCAAACAATTAGAGAATGATATTGCTAAACTGAAACAGCAACTAAGACATTTAAATGAGGAAAAATAAGGAAAATATCTCCCAAAGTGAAAATACTACTAGAGAACTTCAGGATAAAGCTAAAGGCAAAAGTCTTCAAAAATTAGAAACCAATTTCAACAAAATTGAATAAATCCAAATAGCTCAGCATATATTAATATATCATAAACAGATCAAGATCATGATCACGTTATTGAGATTTCTATGTTGCGGTAAACCCCAAACCACATTAATATAAAGAGGGTGCGTGAAATTACAAAGTTTTAAGGGCCTTTTTGAAAATATATGTTGTATAACAACAATATGACTATATATAGGATCCTTGCCAAATTTACGGCCTAAATTTAACTTAAATTGGATCTGTTTCATTCAAAATCACATAATCTTTATCATATCATATGACATACATAACAAAAAGACTAAAAATTCAAAGATTTTAAAAAATCCATAATCATAATTTTTTCTCATAAAAATTTTTTTTATTTTTTTAGGAAAACGACGAAAACAAGTGTTATATAACGTGTAATATTTTAAAAAAAAAGAACTGAGAAATATATTATTAATTTTGTTTTTTATAAGATAAAGAATATATATAAAACATATTATATCATTTAAAGTTTAGAAGCAATTGTTGCTTTTTCACAATAATTACTTTAAAATTTTTTCTTTAAAAAATATCGGTAAGAATTTTTTTAAAAAATAATGGCTTTTGAACCTGGTAATGTTGTTTACGCAATAGAGAGGCTCTGAGCTGTGTGCCGTAATCAGAGGCCGGAATTTAAGACTCTGAGCTGTGTGCTGTAATCAGAGGTCGGAATTTGAGAACCCTGAGCTGTGTGCCGTAACAGGGAGATTTATATATTGGACTTTTATTTTATTTTATCTTATATATTTTATTGGACACAACCCGAGCTGTAATTGAATTTACACGCTCGCAGTATAATGACTCACAATCATAAGTAAATTTTTGAGCTTAAGGACCCTAGAGGATTCCCCCAAAATTTTATTAATAAGGATTATAATAATAATAAATTAAACTACTCACAATGTATCAGTGTGACCTTTGCACAAGAAAATTCTCTTGAAAATCAGATTTAGCACAACATTATAACTTTCTTCCCTCCTTAAACTTAAAACACTATTATTCAATTGATTCTTTTTTTAAGTAAAAAATTTGTTCCCAAAAAAATATTTTATCCTAATGATAATTCCATTGTCATTGTCATTGTCATTGTCATATCCTTGTCCTTTTCTTAATTCCTAAGAAATCAGTTCATTCCTGTGAAACTCTGATTTGCTTTTTGGGACATTCTTCAGTTAGACGGTTTTATTATTCATTTAGTGATCATCATGGAAAAAATTTTCCAAAAATTGTTACAGATTGTCAAAATGTTCATTTGTTATTGTCTGTAGTTCTAAAATTTTCATCTTAGACGAGCTACATGATAAAACAATCAGTAATATATTTGAGACAATGTCTAAATTTGATTTGGTGGTAATGTTGATAATAAAGACATTTATAGAGATATTTAGTGATGTTTGATTTTGAATATATTGCAAAATTTATATGTTCCAATTTTGAGGGTTAACATAGTAAACTTGTGCTTAATTTCTCTATGATAACATGACATATTAATACAGTGCGGATCATCTATACTAAAAAGTTAAAATTTTTGAAATATTATGTGATCCACACATTGGATTTTAAAAAACCCACCACCATTCAATTCAGCTTTAAAAGGAGAGTCTATTAATCTAAAAAAAAAATTTGTCTCAAATTTTTCATAGATTTTTTAAATTTGAAATAATTTTCGTGTCACACTATTTTGAATCTCACGACCAAATTTGGTAATGATTTTTTTTTAATGTAATATGTTCGTTAAACTTTTTTGTTGTAAAGAATTTTTATTTATTAATAAAAAAAGGAAATAAATAAATCAAATAAATCAAATGTATGTTGTAGAAAATATTCTATGAAAA